ATCAAAGGCTGCTTCAACTACTTTTTATTCAAAATTTTCTTCCTTAATTTCTGAAATATAATTAACTCATATATATGAGTTCGTAAATTTCTGACTTTTTATTCAATTAGATCAAGTGTGTTCACATGAAGTGCAAGATTAGCATGCAGAGTTGTGGAATTCAAAAATTAGATGAAATAAAGTGACATTGATAGAAACCAGGGCCGGTTTTGGGCCGAGGCGAGTGAGGCCACCGCCTCGGACCCAAAATCTGAGAGGGCTCAAAAAAAAAAAAAAACTTTTTTATAAGCCATTTTTGGATAAAGGTCAAATAATGTTAGAATAAATTTAATGGTTACAGCTTTACATGCATGCAAGGTCATTCATTCTCAGAGAATCCGTCCTTTTGCCTAAGTTGGGGCCCACAAGTCAACTGTTGAAAAAGGGTTCGATCTCAAGTATATTATGACTTGTAAAACTCACAGACTTTAGTTAAAAATCGCACTGGCCATGGGCGTGGCTACATAGGGATCAAAAAGAACAAAAAAATTCTGGAGCCTAATTTATAAAGTTCGCCTCAGGCCCCGAAAATCACAGAACCGGCCCTGATAGAAACCATTTTTATTTTTAAAAAAATGTTTCATAAAAAGTAATTATATTAATACCTCAATTTTTATTTCTTGCGCCACTTTCTAATTGCATTTAAAGTTCTTAATTTTTGCTCATTTCTTAATTTTTGCTCATCATAGCACTTAATCTTAACATTTTTTTGTCATTTTTTTCCTCAAACTTTTTACTAGTTAACACATTTTGTATTTGATAACAGTTTTATGTCCAAAAGTCTGTTGAAATAACATAAAACAATTTATTTTCTTATCATATTTTTAAAAAATAAATATATAAGGAGCGAAAAAATGTTTTTCCCTCATTTCAAAGTATGAAAATAAAATATTTTAATATAAATCATTATAAAGAACGAGACATACAAATTAATGAAATGTTGAAAATAAGATTGCAACAAAAAAAATTAAGGAAATAATTGTCACAATAAACAAAGATCAAGAAGTTTAACTGCAATTAAAATGTGGTGAATCAAATAATAATTGTGGTGGCAATATGACCACCCATGATAAAATACTTTACACGAGAATCATATAAATTTTAAATGTTGAGGGGTAGTACTATGGACTAAAATCTCCTGTATTCATGTAATGCTACTAAAGCTACAACATAGACTACATAGTGATATGATTTTCAACAGCTTCACTCTGTCTCCACTTTCAGACGTCTTAGAAATAATTTTTAGTTTCCTTCTTGTACATTTGTCCCAATGTTCCTTCCCTCGTTCACAACCATTTTCGGACGTAGCCCTGCACGACCAAATATTCTAGTACGTAACGTGGGATCGTAAGCTTGTCACCAAAAACTGATGATAAAATTTGGAGTCATATAGCTATTAGCAAAACTCTTTATACCTTCAACGCCCATCATTCATGGTTCGAAAGACGGGACCTGATCCATAGGAGCATGGAGAACCCGATATATTGTCCTGTCGACTATACTTCTGTAAGGATCTTCCTTCCTCTTTTTCATCAAATAAGCCATACTATTTTCAACTTCCGATTTGATATGCAAATACAATTCTCTCGATTTAGTTTTGTCCTTTAACATCTCTCGCCTTCCCTTTGTTGGAATAGGCTTCCTGAACAGATAGTAAACGCGGCCAGGAATTTTAGGTAGAAGTCCCGGTAGATGTAAATCTTGTTTGGCAACCTCCCCACTCCTTCCAGCCCTGTAATCAGATCATTTTTAATGTCATTAGAAATAGCTTCATTTTCCCACCTACAGGCGCATAAAATGTAAACCAAGCTTTTAGCAAATATTAGGGGGCTCAAAGTTGGTAACTAAATAAACATTTATTATAATTTGATCACCGCATCCCAGCCTGTTAGTAGCTAACGTGGTAGTCTAGTTGACAAATAACATGATTGCTGAGTGCCTTTTCCACTAGTCAAACTAAAGGGTATATAGCCGATGTAACAAAGTTTTAAGTTCATGAAACAACTTGAAACAAAATGAGGTTTAACGACCAGGACGGCCTGTGTATGTAACCCAACATGACTTTATGAATGGTATTGTCCATGTGGATTGCTTACCTTATGTTTAGGTCTTTATACTTCTCGTTATCTCTTCTAATATTGTCACCTATGTTTGGAATTCTGATCAGGTCATCATAGTCTAGAACCATCTGCCAATTAAAAATCAAAATGAAGATGTCAATTTTATAAGGAATATACTTGTCAAGTTCCACTCCCACAGATAGGCATAAACACAGGTACTGATTGGACCAATATACAAATATGTACATTTCAAGCAGATATGGACAGTGTGATTTTCGTCAAGAGGAATTTCCGGGTTTCACAGTCCAAAGAAAAACAATGCTTCCAAGCATGATGATCACTTCAATATATGTCAATATGCAGGTTTTTACATGAATATGCGGACGAAAAGTTTGTGTTGAGATCATGTGCTCCTCATTAATGGCCGATATTTGAACTAAAATAAGGCATTCCCAGAGGTAATCCTGCACCATTGTAGACCCTAAAGCCATAGATATAGGCCTATAACCTCTTTCGTCTCCTTCTTGTTGAGGTATTAATCCCATATTGAATAAAGATGAAAATATAAACCAACATATAAGAGCTTGAACCACTCTTTTTAATAAGGTTGACCTTTTAAGATGGAAACTCAAATCTTAATATAAATTCGATTAAGATTAAAACAAGTACATGAATTTCAAGATTAATTAGCTCAAATGAGCTACCATCATATGGGACATATCAAGGGATAAACTCGATGAAAATATTGACTAACATATAAGAGCTCGAACTGTTCCTATTAACAAAGTTGACTTTTTAATATGAAACCCCAATTCTTATAACTTCCAAAGGGACGAGATGATTTTATGATCTTAAGAGTGAGAATTCAGACTTCCTTGGTGCTCAAAATTAACTTCATCCAGTCATCTTTGGGGCATCCCAAAATAAGATCCCCATTTCGGAAAGTCAACTAAACCTTCCTCGTGTTGTCTCTTTGTAGCTGGTTTTGTCAAGATTTTATGCTGCCATTAAATGTCGAATTCGAATGTGATAATGACAAGTCGGAAGTTGGAATTTTGA